ACTGCAGCTTGGCTCTTATTACTGAATCTCTGCGCCGTCTGACACTAACACTGGATAATGTATTGGCGGCAGCAGCTTTTGGCATGCGCTTATTAAATGTGGGTTCAAAAAGGCATTGATAGACTCCACGGAGGCGGCCGGTCTGTCTCTTAATGTGTGATGAGATGAGCTTACAGCCGTGGAAGGAGAAGAATAGAAACTTAATTATCACGCACTGCGAGAGCACCAATCAATAGGTTCGGGTTTACCGTAAGGACCATTAGGGTCAGAGCCAGCTAGCGGCTAAAGTGTCGTACGCTTTTGAAGAGCTTACCACTGGATGACAGTAATGATTTGGAGAACAGAGCAGCATCCGTGAAGCCGCATACATTGTGTGTGTGAATGGAAGCCAGAACTGTTCAGAGCAAAGGACTGTAAACACGTCTCTGATACTGTGACACACAAGGGCACTTTGAGCTACTACAAATTTAAAACCCATTTACGTCAATTTTTGTTCTTCGGTTCATTTACACACATGATGTTTTGCGGTTAGAGATTCTCATTTTGATATGCCGAGTCTTTCATTACTGAAGCTCTCATGGGGCATGTCTGAGACGTGTTAAGCTTACATTAGAACACACACTCTTAGATGTAGACTGTCATACATGGGCTTTGTTCGTTTTGTTTTAAATGCATGTGTACTTGATCAGGGATTTGCATGTTTCTGAGCTTATTATGCCGTTACTTTCTAGGGTATTAACTTTATGTGCTTAACAGAATGTATGTGCTGATGCCAAAAACAAGCTCACAGCTGTTACTGATTGATCATCAGAGCAGACTGTGATAAAAGATTATACAAATGCCATGGGCATTAAACAAAGACTTATAGGCTACATAAAAGTTTATTCATTTTTATTGTTATTAGTAGAATTTTGTCTGCCATTAAATCTATTTATTTTTATTTATAAAGACTTCAACACTATTCAAGTGGGACTACTTTTTTTTATAAGCTTGATAATTCTTATTGATTTAATTTTCTTTTGTGCACTTAAATTTGATGCTTTTTTTGGTGATATTTTCATCAGAACACTGGCAAAAATTTGAAATTTATTTGACGAAGGTCAAAATGAATGAAGCTTTGAATTAAATTGACCATTTTATTACTGCTGAACCCCTCTTTCCTGTCCAATATGTTTTTTAACTGCCCCATTCCTACAATGTTGGCCTCTCTGAATAGCCTCCATCACAAAATAAAAACACAAAACTGAAACAATTTTCAGAAACTTTGTTGTTTCACACTAACTTTCTTTTAGTTATTAATGAGCAAACGCACTCTCTTGATAATTCTTATTGATTTAATTTTCTTTTGTGCACTTAAATTTGATGCTTTTTTTGGTGATATTTTCATCAGAACACTGGCAAAAATTTGAAATTTATTTGACGAAGGTCAAAATGAATGAAGCTTTGAATTAAATTGACCATTTTATTGTTTTCTTTCCTGTCCAATATGTTTTTTAACTGCCCCATTCCTACAATGTTGGCCTCTCTGAATAGCCTCCATCACAAAATAAAAACACAAAACTGAAACAATTTTCAGAAACTTTGTTGTTTCACACTAACTTTCTTTTAGTTATTAATGAGCAAACGCACTCAGCTTTTTAAATGTCATCTTGAAAAGACAAGTTTTTTTATTATTATTTTTTTATTTTTCAATCTCTCTTTCTTTCCTTCTTTTTTTAAATCAGCTCCATAAATAGAGGCTTTGTCTTCCAATTATTCACTTTGTCAACTGTAAAGAGTATTTACACATAATGCTTTATGTCAAAATTGTGAGATTTGTTTAAAAAAGTCTAGGTAAGTGTCAACTCTGTTTTGACAGCAAACTAATTTTTTTTTTTTTGGAAACACTCCTACAGTTTGCTCTAATTTGTAAAGTTGGTTTTTCGAGAACAAAAACCCCTGAAGTTCTTTTCCATCAGGAAGAAAACATGCTCTTAATGAAACCTGTCAGAAACAAACCCAAAATGAACTTTCCACTCAGCCAGATGTCAAGTGCATCTCTTGAGATCCATTTCACCTTCGTAATATCTTTTGCTTTGACAAATAAGTGAAAATGTCATGGTTAAGTGATCTAGATGACGGTTATGTATACACGTGGAAATAAATATGAGTGGTGCACCACTCCATAAAAACCATATGATTAAAACCATGCTTAAAACCATAAAAAGAATGTGATATGTGTATCAAAAAGAAAATCACTCATAACGTACAAATCAAACATGTTCGACATACAAAGACCTGCAAGATTCAGGGTGAGGTAAAAAAAAAAATCCCAAAACATATTTCCAGCTCCGCAATCTAATTAGACGAGTCATTTAATTATTTTCATAAAACAAACAGGTGCTTTCTTTCTACTCTATATTTCTGCTAAACTACTTACTGTCTAATATATTTCAAAAGATAAATCTTAAAATAGCAGATATGTGCATATATGGGTTTAATTGTATATTAATGCAAGAAATTGCTGTTACTTGGTAACAGAAGGCTTCGGTTAGGATATAGAACTATATTACAAGGCAGAATAATTGTTTATTGTGATTATTAATAAGTCAGACAAGTCAAAATGATTCTAAATATTTCACAAACAAGAATGCTGTGAGAAAAATATCTGATCGGTTTTAAAATGGGCAATATTTCTTATTCTAAGCACATCATTTGAAATAGAAGCGTGTAGCAATTATTGCATTTTGAAAGTGATTAGTTGAATTGTAGATAGCATATTTAACATGCAAGACTAGAGAGACAAAGGGAGTGAACAATGAGGAAGGACATATTGATGGGGAATTCACACTGCGCTTTGGCAGAGAGGCTTCATATACAACATTGAAGTAATTGCTGTCAGCCCAAGACGGTGCAATGGGAATTCTGCCAGAGGCAACTAGAGTACAGTAGGTGTTCCAATTTAAAGACTTGCCCAGTATGGGTTCGAGAGAAGAAAAAAAGGAAATTAACATATGAGCTGGCATGTGGTTGTGATGAAAACCTAATGGCTATAGAAATACAGTGCCGTTTTAGCTATAATGATGACAAAAACTGACCAGGTCAAATATAAGTTCCAACTACTTGCTTTAAATAGAATCTACAGTTACTGAAATAACTGACATTCTCTTTGTATTTAAAGAGACAGTTCACCCTAAAATGTAAAGTCATCAATGTCTTACTCTTATGTCATTCCAAACCATTTTAAGCAGCGTAAGTTCTCCTTTTGTGTTCGATGGAAGAAAGTCAAACGAGTTTGGAGTAAATAATTACTGAACTGTTCCTTCAACTTGGTCTACTGCGAGTTCCCCGTTTCTAAGCCTCTTGGCGCTTTTGCATCGTCTCTTTGTTTTCAGAGATGAATGAGTCTAAATAGGCAAATCCTGCAATGATTATTCATAAACAGAAAGCATATTTAAACGCTTTAAGAATTTTACATGAATATTCCGTTGCGTGAGATAAGGACATGTTAATGCTTGATTACGGGCAAACAAAAGTGCTGATGAGGTGTACTAATTATGGAAGCATAATTCCATGCCACATTATTAATTACAGAGATATGACCTCCGAGCAAAACTCAAGAATACACACACACTTAGATACTTAGCACAGTTCCAGAACAGTAAACTTGAGTGGTTGAAATTAGACATTAGAGCAAAAAAAAGAAAAAAGAAAAACATTTTTAGAATATGCAAAATATTCAAAATAAATAGGCCTGTTAGTTTAACGTCTTAATTTAGCACTTATTATATCTGTAATTTTTTATCATACAAAAAGTGCTCTAAAAATCCCAATAGGAGTGGACAGAATGCAGGAATCCCAAGAACGTTTTTTGAAGTTATCTTAAAAAGCTGGCAGTCAAGGCATTAGATGCTAAAGCAAACAATGGGACAGCTCACTCAAAAATGAAAATTCTGCCATTCTCAAGTTGATCCAAACAGTTGACGGTAGCTATTGACTTCCATAGTATGGAAAACAATTCTATGAAAGTCAACGGCTACTGTTAAATATTTGGTTACCAACATTCTTCAAAATATCTTCTTTTGTGTTCAACAGAAGAAAGAAACTCATACAGGTTTGGAACAAGTGGAGTGACAAAAATTTTCATTTGAAGTGGTGAACTATCCCTTTAAACACTTATTCAATGATCTAAACAATAATACTTCCACAAATTGCCTTCATTTCTTGGCTTTCTCAGAAAATATTCAAATATTAATGGAGTTAATCAGCATATAATGTAATTAATTAAACATATGAATTCATTGTCAGCCTTTGGAATAACTAAAGATCCAAATTCTACAGCAGCCACAGCTCTATTGATTTCAGTAGTATGTTGTTAGCATGTTGCTAAGCTAATTATGCACTACTCTATTAAGCAAGAAAATACACAGCAAAATGAGCTTTTGAATAAATTTTACAAATATACATAATGAATTTGTTCTGCATTGTCCACCAACTATTATCTATTTTTCACTAAGCTTGTCGCTCTTCAGATACTATTCATTTTTGAACAAATTACTCAAGTATTTATAACAAATTTCTCCTGCATTATCCACCAACTGTTCTATTTTCTGTGCAGCATTGCATACTTTAGAATTGACGTATTCATTTCACTTATTTGTTTGATTCTTGCTTGTAAAGACACGTTACTTACAACAATTGCATTTACGTTACTTGTTAAGTATTAGTTAAAAGCAAAATTTCAACTGTAATTTCTAAGGGAGATCTTCAGCCCTGGAGAACAATTTGGCAAAAATCAAGATATCTTCGAAGGCAGCAAAATCACGCAAACAGTCAGAAGCGTGTTTACGCTGCTTCTGCAGGCAGCTCACTAGGTTTTGGAACGGAGCCTAGATTTGAGAAGAGCGCTTGTGTTATGTTACACAACACTGTGTTGCAAAAGGTGTTGCATGACGAGAGAGCCGTGTAACTTACGTGAAGCGTAGGGTGTTTGAAATGTGAAAAACAAACGTGAGTCTCACCCAGAGTAGTTGAAGAGTCTGCTGTCCCAGAGGCTGTGTTCCCCACGGGGCCCGCTGTGGAAGAAACAGGAGTCAGAGCCGTCAAAGCGGTTCAGCCCGTCCTCTGTGTTCTTGGATGCGTGGCTGTGCACCACATCGAGCAGGACGATGATACCCAGAGAGTGAGCCACGTCAATCAGCTCCTTGAGTTCCTCTGGGGTGCCGCAACGACTGGAGAGAAGAACAGATGAAGGCAAGATATCAGAGCAGTCTGGGCAGAGGTTGTCTGTCAAGCTGCATGCTCTTCGTCTTGGGTTAAGCTTGAAACTAGCAGTAGTCTGACTGTTAAGAATAATTCTTTCAAAAGTATAGAGATATCTTTCGGAGTTTATCGCAAAGCCTAAGATGCACTGGTAGGACTTCAGAAAACAGTATATCTGCTTGCTGCACGTTGTGCTAAAGAAAACATGAGTGTGAAACATTGCTGGAGTCGGCTTTACAGTTAGAGCAGTAATGATGGCTGACCATTGCAAATTGGGATTGTTGTGTTCATGTCACTCACAGTGTAAACTGAATACACAAACAACTTAAGATGCCATCTGTTCTTAACTTAGATTAAGAATAAAATAGTAAATAATACATAAAACAGATAATAAAATAGGCCTCTATTTTTGGGGCCATTGCCTTGTGGGCTGCGCTCCATCATATGGTGCAACAGTGCTCTGGGCAACCCAAGTTTGAATCCCGGCTCATGGTCTATTTACAATCTCATTTCCATCTCTCCTATACAATTGGTTAATGTCTTAGTTGTTCTATCTGAATAAAGGCAGAAAGGCACAAAAAATAAATAATAATAATAATTATAATAATAATAATAAATAGAAAATACAATATTTTAAAATAAATAAATAATATTTACAAATATTTAAAATAACTTAAAATATTTATATTTAAAAACTTTGGTCTTTAGCCTACTTAATATCATTTAAAAAAACTACATAACAATATTCACATAATATAATATAAACTGAGACGTTTTTCATTAACACATAAAAATAAAAACTTGTTTAATTGGAAAAATGGTACAAGTGGAGTGGAGTACAAAGGCACATTCAGGAGATCCATAAGATTAATATTACATCTTGTAAAAAGGGGCACAATAGGTGCCCTTTAACACACATCTGGCAGACCAAAAATAAATAAATAAAAACAACAAAAATAAATTAACTACAAAAAAAGAAAACTGTAAAAATTTTATAAAAACTTTAGTCAGAGTAAAAACTAAAAATAATAATAATAAACTGAAAGGACAAACAGAAAATAGAATGCATGCTCATCCACTTAAAACAAACAGAGCAACAATTATAGTCCCCCTATAGTGGCACAATGGCGATAGTTCATGGATGGCCTCTTCTGGGATTCAAACCTACAACCTTCTGGATACCATCCCAGATCTGCCACATTACATACGTGTGCATGTGTTTAGCTCAGAAAAATCCCCTCTACACAACAGCTGTTTAGCACCGGCAGCAGAACAACACATGTGCAAATACATTTACCGTGCCGCCCAATTGCCGTTTAAAAACAAACAAATATGGCAGTAAATAAAAATCAATCTCAGATCGTTTACACCATCATGGCCGCTGAGCAGAGATCAATGCCTCCATTCGGGGTGACATACTGGCTCCTTGTGAAACAAAGGGCGAGAGCGGTGCATTTCCATTAGTACTTCCTCACGTATCTCCTCCGTGTAATTGCTGCACGAAGCTTCATCTGTCGTCCAGCTATCATCATATCGCTTTCCCCCGGCAAACGTGATGCAGGGTGACACCAATACCCCTCCCCTCGGCCTCCGCCCCTTCCCAGCATCCAGACCTTGCACTTTTAAAACGGCTCAGGGAGATCAATCATGTGTGAAATTACTCTGTATACATTATACTTGCGCTATAGGCTGTCTTCAGTGTTAGCCGGTAAGAGCGAGTGACGGAAAAAAGCACGTAAATAAAGAATTCCTGCCGGTCTTCCTTTATCTGAGGTATCTAACTCTCCACAGGATTAACTGCAAATGTGTTTACAGGGAGATCATCGGCCCCGTCAGAGGAGGCTCTGTGTGATTTGGGGCCACAGATGTGGGACAGTCTTCATGGTGTGTGTGTGTGTGTGCCTATCGTTTTCACTGAGGGGTGTTACAGTTACATTTTGAACATTAAGAAGATAAAAATGAGTGAATTGTACCATTGTATAGGCCTCAGGACAGCATCCTTTTCATTGAGGGTCAATAAGCGTGCTCCAGAGTTGATTTTCAGGGTCATTTTTAACTTTGGCTCACAGCGTTCCTGCCTAGTGTTCCAGATCAGTGATTCACAAAGAAGGTGTTTTTGTGTTTAAAAATGTGAGACGCAGGGAAGAGGAATAGAAAAAAAGGGTTGTCAAGCGATTCAAATTAATTATATGATTTTTATAATTACCCCCCCCCCACCCAAAAGAAAATTTAAAGGTAGGGTAGGCCATTTCAGAGAGGCTAGCAATAGCAAGCTAGCTTTGAAAGCATAAGATCCCACCCTCCCTGCAAATCAATCTCCAAAGCCACGCCTCCTCCAAAAAACATGAACGCGCACAGCGACATAAGGCCCTTTCCAGAACTAAACGTACGGTACTAAAGTACTGGGACGATTTTGCGCGAACTATTTCCCAGTACTATATACAGGGTTGCATTCACACCGAGAGTGTGTACTAAGAAGTGACGTAAGCCGGTCGACAGCGACGTCATTTGTGCGCGGTGTTCAACAACAGAAACAAAGAACTACGTTAACAACAGGAGGATGGAGGACGCTGTAATCGGTGCTGTGTGTTTGTCGTGTCTCGCGGGTTTCACAATAATGGACATGGAAAGTCGACGTATACGTAAAGCGATTGAAAGAACGGAAAGGAGGACTAAGAATCTCCAACGACAACTGGCAGTGCTACATTTGCTACAAGTGCCTGCACTTCAGCGTCCGTCCATCTATCGCTGTTCTCCATACTTGCGAAATAAGTTGACATGCTTACAGTATGTTTACACGGCGTTTTAAATCATGGTGGGTGAGGGCGTTTTCGTACGCGTTTGGCCAATCAATGTCTACTTACGTCACGATTGAGCTGTGTTTTTGTTGTGTCTCGCGGGTTTCACAATAATGGACATGGAAAGTCGACGTATACGTAAAGCGATTGAAAGAACGGAAAGGAGGACTAAGAATCTCCAACAACAACTGGCAGTGCTACATTTGCTACAAGTGCCTGCACTTCAGCGTCCGTCCATCTATCGCTGTTCTCCATACTTGCGAAATAAGTTGACATGCTTACAGTATGTTTACACGGCGTTTTAAATCATGGTGGGTGAGGGCGTTTTCGTACGCGTTTGGCCAATCAATGTCTACTTACGTCACGATTAGTACCAGTTGTGCTGGTTAGACCCTGCTCCGTAGTAGGAGCTAATTTGGTTCTCGAAAGAGGCAGTCCGGTACTAAAATCGCACCCAGTTCCGGCGGTGCGAACACGCCGAAAAGTGGGTAGTTCCACAATTAGTTCTGGTACTATGAAAAGGTTCCTGCGGTGCGAAAGGCCCTATGGTGAGAGATGGCGTTGGTGGAGGGTTGAATGCAATGCTGTCAGATTACCTAATGTCTCACTCACTGGTGAAAAAACATTACAGTACAAAGCGCATGATATTACAATAATAACATCTTCCATTCTCGCTCGGTCTGCAATAGCGTAAGGGAACGCGCTGATGACGTATATTGTCTGCGCGAAATGGGTGAGCAGAGGTATGCAAATACATACACTGACTGACAGGCAGGTCGGACAGCCTATCGTAGCCCTTGGACCAAGGGATATGATTGGATGAACATTTTATGGTCCTACACCTTCCACAGACTATATAAATACATTTAGACCACTTAACTTAGTGATTGCTATCGGTATGTGAAGAGATTTTCAATCAGAACAAACAATGTTATTGAACCAAATAACCTAGCCTTTAAATGAGAATTATTTAAATGAGATGCGTTAAATGAGATTGTTTTAAAAAAAATTGTTGTGTGAAATATGAAATATGACATAAAAAAATAAATATGAAACTAAAACCACCAGTAGGTGGCGGCAAGTCATTGAATGAGCGTGTCATTCATTCAACTGATTCATTCAGAAACTAACCAAGATTGTTTATGAAAGGGCCATGAATAATTAGCTTACTTGAACTATTCAAAAAGTGTGTTGTTTAGAAAGTTATAACAGTTCTGGTGTTTTTTTTTTGTATTTACAAACTATTTTTGCTGCTGAAATTGAGCGAAAACAGACAATACTGACAATATTGTGGCTAGCCTTTAAATGAGAATTATTTAAATGAGATGCGTTAAATGAGATTGTTTTAAAAAAAATTGAATAATGAAATATGAAATATGACATAAAAAAATAAATATGAAACTAAAACCACCAGTAGGTGGCGGCAAGTCATTGAATGAGCGTGTCATTCATTCAACTGATTCATTCAGAAACTAACCAAGATTGTTTATGAAAGGGCCATGAATAATTAGCTTACTTGAACTATTCAAAAAGTGTGTTGCTCAGAAAGTTATAACAGTTCTGGTGTTTTTTTTTTGTATTTACAAACTATTTTTGCTGCTGAAATTGAGCGAAAACAGACAATACTGACAATATTGTGGCTAAAATGTGTATATATATATATATATATATATATATATATATATATTAGGCTTGCCGCGATAGGTGGTGCTGACGGTGATACCAATGTTAAGCCACAAACCGGGAGGCTTGTGACTGTCCTATTGACTGCCAAGTAAATTGCACTGTCAGGGTCCAGAAAAGTATGAAAGGCATCGTCAGAACAGTCCATCTGCCATCAGTGGTTAAATCTGAATTGTATGAAGCGACGAGAATACTGTTTGTATGCGAAGAAAACAAAAATAATGACTTTATTCAACAATTCGTCTCCTCTGTGAACCACTGCACACCACTGATATATATATATATATATATATATATACACACACACGCACACACACACACACAAAAAAACATGCAGGGTATTGTTTGCCCTCCTATCTTAAATTTTAGGGGCATATAACTGCATTCTAATAGACTCATCATACAGTCAGTTATCACCTTGCATCATGTTCATCAGCAACAACAGCATTAGATGACGGAACTCTTTTAATGTGTTATTTTTTCCATAATTAATCACAAAAAATGTACGTGTTGAATCGACAGCCCTAACAAAATCCAAAGTATCCTGTTTATTTTGCAATGTGGAATTAACTATTTTCTTTGAATGTGTGAGACTTCATTAGCCACTGTAGGTTAATAATGTGCACATAAAACTAAATGTGCTACAAACCAGTGTGTTTATGATTAAGACATTATATTAAAATAAAATAATTTACAATATCAAGCAGCATAATGGACTGTTTTTGTACAGCTAACTGGAAGTGACTACACCAGAAGCAAGTAAAAAAAAAATTACTTCTTTTTTTTTATTTCTTTCAACTTGATCACTGACTTTTGGGAAATGCTTTGTCATGCATGAGATGTTGCAAAAGAAGCGAGATGCGAGTGCGATGGTCAAACACGGTCGAACACAGCAGAATGCAAAAACTCGTTCTGTGTGAAAGGCCTCTAGACAGTAGACAAAATTCAAGATTTTCATCTGTCACAATACAAAGTTATATACAGAATACCACCTGGGGAGAAATGTCTGCTCCATAGACAGTGCGTATATTTTATTAAGGAAATGCATATATATATATAATAATGAAAGACAAAAGTAAGCCTGAAGCAATGCAAAAACGGTCTACAACAGAACTGAGACACAATAAATATTCAAATGTACAAGGAATGTGCACAAATGGAGCAAAAATTACTGCAAGGCAGTTCACTAAGTTTGCAAACTGGTTAGTCAGAAAACAAAGAAAACAATGTCAACATGAAATGGACTGGAACATTTCCCAGCATTAGATATATTTACCTTGATGCTGCGAAGAAACTGGTGACCTGGTAACCGAAGCTAGCGTAGTAGGCATGCTCCATGATCGCCATTAGCTGAATACAGTTATAACCTGTGTGTATGACAGTAAAGACAGCAGTGCTTATTAGCAGATCTTTGCCAAAAACTAATATTCTATCATCATTTTCTCATGCCACTCCAAACCCATATGACTTACTTTCTTTAGTGGAAATTTAGATATCTTGAAGAATGTTCATTCAGATCTTTCCCATAAAAACAACAAGTTACAGAGTTGAACTCAAGAATCAAGTCTGAAAAAAATTACTGTTTTGAGACTTTTTTTTTTTCTTTCAATTAACCAGTTGGTCCATTTTTCAACTCAATGATCCAGACACAGTAAAATTTCAATCTGTTCATCACACAAAGCTATAGTGCTTCAGAAAATATGTACTGTAATATAATGTATGAGTGATCTGGACAAACTCTATGGTGCTTTTTGGTGTTTTGTGTCATTTTTAGAGCTTAACACGCAAAGTATTAGAAACAACCTAGGGCTGCACAATTTAGATGATTTCTCTGATAAAAATTGTGACTGGAATTTTAAATGCCTTTTTTTTTCTTCAGGATCGCTGTTCTTGTTTGTAGGGTTGCACAAGTTGGCCAAACGTTTTGTGATAATAATAATAATAGTTTATTATTATTATTATTACTACTACTATTAAATACAATTATTAAAAATTATAAAATCTAGTATTTAATAAAAGTGATAAGATTGACTTTGCAGTACAATTTTGAGTACCATTTCTATATAATTAATAATAATAATATTACGATTAATAATTGTATAATAAAATAATATTAAATAAAATGTAAAAATATGAAATACTACTGTAACATATCACTGTAAAATAGAAAATGTGGTATTTAATAATAATAATTATATATGATGATGATGATGATGATAACTTTAGAGTAAAAAACTATTTACATTACAAATTTTTATCTTAATTCCTTTTCAAATGAATTCATTTAAATAGCCAGCACATAAAATGACCGCATTTTCATTTTTGAATGAACTATACTTTTAAAGCTTCAAATCTAATCTTTTAAGTTGCCAAATGTATTTGTTAAAAACATTTTATTTTTTTTATTGCTACAGCAAACTTTCAGTTTCAGTCAACTTTCCTGCAAAATAAACGTGGGAGCAAAAAAGTACAAATTCTGCTGTTCTGCTGATTTTGTGTCGTCCCCACGGCAGTGTGCACCAAATGCCCACGCAGAGAACGACGGCTTCGCATAATTTCAAAACATCTGTTTTCATTAACAAGAGGACATTATAAAACTGTCAAACAAAAATAATACATTTGTTAATAAAAAAGGCCACACAAAACCTTGACATGAAAACACTACTCGGGTTTGTCCCAAGGAATACAGTGGTACACAGACAACCGTCAAACCCAACAAAACATCCTTTTTATCTTAATTCCTTTTCAAATGAATTCATTTAAATAGCCAGCACATAAAATGACCGCATTTTCATTTTTGAATGAACTATACTTTTAAAGCTTCAAATCTAATCTTTTAAGTTGCCAAATGTATTTGTTAAAAACATTTTATTTTTTTTATTGCTACAGCAAACTTTCAGTTTCAGTCAACTTTCCTGCAAAATAAACGTGGGAGCAAAAAAGTACAAATTCTGCTGTTCTGCTGATTTTGTGTCGTCCCCACGGCAGTGTGCACCAAATGCCCACGCAGAGAACGACGGCTTCGCATAATTTCAAAACATCTGTTTTCATTAACAAGAGGACATTATAAAACCGTCAAACAAAAATAATACATTTGTTAATCAAAAAGGCCACACAAAACCTTGACATGAAAACACTACTCGGGTTTGTCCCAAGGAATACAGCGGTACACAGACAACCGTCAAACCCAACAAAACATCTTCCCTTCTTCCCCCTTCAGCTCTGACCAGAAAGTGTCCACTACAGAAGCTGCTCTTTTATGCGAACACAAAGTGGCCACCGGGTCATACGCAAGTCTTAACTGTCCAAACCAGCGTTTTGGTTGCCCATGCAGACTGTAGCTGCACTGACACGGCTCTGAATCTTAATGGGAAGGACTCAAGAGGGAGATCCAGGCTTATCTCACATTGTTCTTTTTTTCTGAGCAGATTGGTTTATTTATTTATCTATCTATCTAGTGATCTTCCTCGCCCTGCTTCAGAGAAAGTTTGGGGATTTTTGATGAGGTGTGACAGCGCCAGGGGCTCGTCTCACCGACGATGTGTGAGCACACACACACACACACACACAGAACACTTTCGACGCTTTATAGATGCCAGAACCACAATTGTCTAGGGAAATGCAAACCGGTTACCACGAAACAATGAGAACTCAAGGGAGCGACAGACACACTGCAACAACATACTGGTTTAGTGCATGGACATATGCATGAATTATTCTCTCACAATATGTGTTACTGCAAATGGCTTCGTAGGACTTTATGTGGGAAGACGGTCAATTTCCATCTAAACATGCAGGCACAAATATTTCTGTTTTGCCTACAAGCAATAAAAAAAATATATACTTTTTTATATTTTTCTAGAAAAACTTGAGTGGTGCTTGTCCCTGTGCTACTTACAGGCACAATGTTGGAGTTGGTGTGAAGGTTTTAAATGATTCCCATATTTCCGAAATGCTAAAAGAACCCACCACCATGATATTTCTAGAGAATTACTGTGCCTACATATAGATGGGGCCCTTAAGGGCCTCTGTGGCCCAATGCCAGGTATGTGTACATTGTCCAAAAGAGCCCATTCCATGTTTCTATGATTGTCTTCTTTAAAAAGTGATGAAATTTTGATTTAATAAGGCCATCACCAACTCATCCTGAAATAAAAAAGTCAATTCAATTAAAAGAAACAGATAGATAGATAGGCGTAGGCGTCCAGTGAGAAGTGACGAATGCGGAAGCGCAGAGGAGAGAGCAAAACAAAACATTGGTCATGAATTAGAAATACAAACTAGGATTTGTATAGAAAAATGTTGCAGGATTTCGACATAAATCCAGAGGAGACTGGCTTTTCTTTTACTAAACAACTGAAACTTTGCTTCCTTTGCTCTTATAAAACAAATCTGGGTTCTCCCGACACTAGCATATTCTCACCAGCGCTTACGCTACGCCACTTTCTCGTGCACGCACATACGGCAGTCAGCGGAAGCTAGAGATTACTTCTTAGAGCACACACACACACACACACACAGAACACTTTCGACGCTTTATAGATGCCAGAACCACAATTGTCTAGGGAAATGCAAACCGGTTACCACGAAACAATGAGAACTCAAGGGAGCGACAGACACACTGCAACAACATACTGGTTTAGTGCATGGACATATGCATGAATTATTCTCTCACAATATGTGTTACTGCAAATGGCTTCGTAGGACTTTATGTGGGAAGACGGTCAATTTCCATCTAAACATGCAGGCACAAATATTTCTGTTTTGCCTACAAGCAATAAAAAAATATATATACTTTTTTATATTTTTCTAGAAAAACTTGAGTGGTGCTTGTCCCTGTGCTACTTACAGGCACAATGTTGGAGTTGGTGTGAAGGTTTTAAATGATTCCCATATTTCCGAAATGCTAAAAGAACCCACCACCATGATATTTCTAGAGAATTACTGTGCCTACATATAGATGGGGCCCTTAAGGGCCTCTGTGGCCCAATGCCAGGTATGTGTACATTGTCCAAAAGAGCCCATTCCATGTTTCTATGATTGTCTTCTTTAAAAAGTGATGAAATTTTGATTTAATAAGGCCATCACCAACTCATCCTGAAATAAAAAAGTCAATTAAATTAAAAGAAACAGATAGATAGATAGGCGTAGGCGTCCAGTGAGAAGTGACGAATGCGGAAGCGCAGAGGAGAGAGCAAAACAAAACATTGGTCATGAATTAGAAATACAAACTAGGATTTGTATAGAAAAATGTTGCAGGATTTCGACATAAATCCAGAGGAGACTGGCTTTTCTTTTACTAAACAACTGAAACTTTGCTTCCTTTGCTCTTATAAAACAAATCTGGGTTCTCCCGACACTAGCATATTCTCACCAGCGCTTACGCTACGCCACTTTCTCGTGCACGCACATACGGCAGTCAGCGGAAGCTAGAGATTACTTCTTATAAAGTTTTAAATATGGACATTTTTCAAACGCATCGATTCGCTTCAGAAGGTCTTTATTAACCCTGTAGAGCACATTTATGATGGATGGATGCACTTTATTGGACTTCTATTGGACTATTGAATATCAACAGCCATTCACTGTCATTAACAAAGCTTGGAAGTGCCATACTTAATTTAATATAACTCCGATTGTATTCGTCTGAAAGAAGAAAGTCATATACACCTAGGATGGCTTGAGAGTATAGGGTAATTTTCATTTTTGGGTGAACTATCCCTTTAAAAATAAACAAAACAAATATACAGATAAATAAATAACAAACAAACAAAACAAACAATACACATTACAAACAAACAAACAAAAAGAAAAAGACAAACAAAAACAAACGTCCAATGCAAACAAAACAAAACAAACAAACAAAAAAAGTAGCCCACAATCTACTCATACTGAAATGAAGAAAAGTACCATTTAATTCAAACACCAAAAAGCACACTCCTTTCATAAGCACATCAACAGATTCAGACTCTCTGCCTGAGATAAATGTCTGGAACTTCTGCTGTAAAAAATCTACACCGCAGGCATCTCTTGACAAATATTCCTGTCAACATTAAATGTTTCAAAACAGAGTCCAGGATCCAGGACGCAAAAGATAATGGTTGTTATTAAAGGGATCGTTCACCCAAAAATGAAAATTATGTTATCAAATACTCTCATTTTATTCCAAAAGTGTATGTCTGTCTTTTTCAGTGGAACACTAAAGGAGAAATCTTAAATAATATGCTTTATTTAGCATTCATATCCTGAAATGAAGTCATTATTCACTCATGTTTGTCCCTTTCAGCGAGCTGTTAAATGCTGTGACTCAAGAACTCGACAACCAGATCAGTCTGGTTTAGAGTGGTTTTGTGAACTCCAACTCGGTCACAAATAGACCGATAGATTATGTAATGAAATATCTGAGTAGAGCTTTCCAGAAGATTCTCAGGAGTTCCCATTGGTTTATCACATAAAGTTATTATATGGCTTTGAATATAGTCATCATATAACACCAGTAAGACAAAGGAGCTTATTGTGGACTTCAGGAAGAAGAAAGGAAACACGAATGACCCCATCCACATTAGCGGGACAGTTGTTGAACGTGTCTCCAGCTTCAAGTTCCTGGGAACCCACATCTCGGAGGACCTGTCCTGGACCACAAACACCTCCAGCCTGGTCAAGAAGGCTCACCAGTGCCTCTTCTTCCTTAGGACACTGAAGAAGAACCAGTTGTCTTCAGCCATCCTGGTGAACTTCTACCAGTGTGCAATCGAGAACATCCTTTCCAGTTGTATCACAGTCTGGTATGGGAACTGCTCAGTTGCTAACCGCAAGGCACTGCAGAGGGTGGTGAAAACCGCCCAACGCATCACAGGGACACCACTTCCTGCTATTGAGGACATCCAGAAGAAACGCTGTCTACGTCGAGCTCGCAGCATTCTTAAGGACACCTTTCACCCTGACCATAGACTGTTTAACCTCCTGCCCTCCGGGAGGCGCTTCAGGAGCCTCCGGACAAGGACCAGCAGACTTAGGAACAGCTTTTTCCCTACAGCTGTCTCCTTACTGAATTCTGCCCGCTGACTCCCCCCCACAAACCACACTTACACTCCTCACTACATCTGGTTTACCAAAAAAAAAAAACCTGTTACACTTGTTATTACTTGCACTACTGTCTGTACATCCAGAATACGGAATCATCCATTTGCACACTGGAATATTTTCTATGCACTTTTTTAAATGTCCATTGCACTCGTTTTGTACAGCTTAATGTATCGCTTACATATTCATTTATAAATGATGTTCATATGTTCATACTTTTCTGCTTATAGTGTACATAAACGTATTACATAATCCATCTGTATAGTATGTTCATAGTACACCTATCTCTATATCATGCTGATCGTATTTAAAAATCTGTAAATTATGTCCATAGTACTGCCTTATCTGTATATTTATTGTACATTTGTAACATATTGGAGACACTGTATATCATGTACTTACTGCTTATTGCACTTCTGGTTAGATGCTAACTGCATTTCGTTGCCTTGTACCTTTGTACCTTTGTACCAGCGTACATGTGCAATGACAATAAAGTTGAATCTAATATGATGCCTTTATTGTGCCTTTTTGGTGTCTGACAGTAAGAGTCCCCATTCGCCTTCCATAAACAGAAAAGAGTGACCTGGTCATTTTTCAGAAATTCACCTTTTATGCTCCACAGAAGAAATTAAGAATGTTCCAATTTGGACGAACTGTTGTATCACCCCAATCTCTAATCCACAGGCTTCTAAGCCTCATCTTCTGTGCCTGTTAAACACTTGAAAATACCCCCTGCATCTCCAAAACACATTGGCACACTCAAACACACCTCTCTCCAGCCCTCATCCACGACAGCACTAATGATGAGCATTCCACATGGCAGCTAAAGCCTGTAAACAGGGTGTTGACCTGCAGAAAAGGGCTGGGTTGAGAGAACAGCCTCCCCAGAGCATAGGCGCCAGGGCCAGTGGCTCACCATCAATGTGGCAGGTCCGTCAGGTTAAGCACCACTGCAGCTCAGATACTTTGTGATGAAGGAAGAACACTGGCAGGTAGAACATAACCTCTCTCTGGGCTAAAAAATAATGCTTGTGTCCTTACAAAGAAGTACTGTGATGTACCAACGTACAGTGATGTACTGGATGCTAATACCATGGTACTTTGATATATACGTATAGCATGATCCCTTAATAGTCATGCAAGGTATTTTAAAGAATATCATGGTATTGTCATGGTATATCTCCAAAAAACATGGTAATACTCTACCATAAAACTTCAGTACTTCTCTGTGATGCATCAAAAAGAATAAAGTGCTTCACGGACCTGCTACTGATGAAGCCCATTGTTTTTTTTGTTAGCAGAGAAAAATGAAAGTGTCTCTCTAAAAGCATAACATTATGTAGTAATTATCTTCCCCGTCTGAAATGTCTTTTCATTTGAAAGGTTTAGCTAAAACAATGATTTGAAGGAAGAAAGAGTAAAAAAAAAGAGAGATCATTGTTTAAACATTTTGTCTCAAAAGGCCACAGAGAAAAATATAAATGTTGAATTGGTCATGTGACACATCCATGTACAGATAAAGTAATTTGTTTTAAGAAATGTTTAAAGCATTCATAAAAGAACTATCAAAGATGGAAAAAAAACACACACAATAAATAAAAGAAAATATAACAAGGCAAACTAAATGAGAGAAAAAAAAGGGTCCCACTTTATATTAAGTCGTCTTAACTACTATGCACTACAAGTACAATGTAAAAACATGTATGTGCACAATAAGTGCATTGTACCAAATTATTAATTTAAATGGAAGTACATAGTTGTTAAGGCCACTTAATATAAAGTGGGTCCAAAAAAAGAATTAAAAGTAATTTGTTTGAATAAAATGTTCCTGACAAAGACAATTACTGTGAGGCAATTCAAAAAAAAATAAAACCAACATAAAACCAACGCAAACAAAACAAAAACAAACATAACACATTATTTTAAAAATAAAATAAAAGAAATAAGGCTGTGTTTAATAAAACCCACACCCATGTGTGGATAAAGTTATTTGATTCAATGAAATGTAACTGATACACTAATTAATCTAAGGCAACAAATCAAAACAAAACAAACATTAAAAACCAATGCAAACAAAACAAAGCAAAAACAAAAAAAACACATCACAAAACAAAACAACAAAATAAGAAAAAAACCTACTGATAAAATCACTTTGAACCAAAGTCTATTAGGCATAAACTCTCATTATCTCAACAGTTTTGTGTTAACGACGCAGTCTCTTACCAAGATCTTTGATTCTAGGCAGCACGTTGTGTGTAAAGTTGCTGTAGGATGCCACTTTGCCCTCCGGAGATGCAATGCCAACATGGGACTCGTATATCCGTAGGCTCCTGGGCTTCTGTGGACGAGGGTGCTTGTGCTGGCACAGAAACAGAAACTCTTCATCCAAATTTAACATCACAGTGCATGCCAATACAACTGAAGATAAGATGAACAGAGCTGACAGTAGCTAATTTGGGGGAATCTCACCAAATCATGACTCAAGACTGGAGGACATTAACGGCCATATATAATTCATAGTCTGAGGAGATGATGTTCACAGTCTTGACTTGACATTAAAGTAAAATTACTCTAAGTAGAAAGCAATGAAATGGCTCATGTTGTATTCATAAAGCCGTTTCATCCTCCTGTTTTCAGAAACCGTTTGCTTTGGTTGGAAACTTCAATTAATAAGGAATATACAGTACACACACATGCCCTAACTAGAGTACTGTTTTATGAAAGCGTATTTCCGCCATGGGATAAAAATATATTACAAAATAAAAAGGTTATTGACTTTTTATCTCACAATTATCTCACTTTTTCTTCGCAATTTTTCATTATGCAGAACGCTGCATGTGCATGTGGTCAGGTGTCTAAAAATTCAGGACAAAAAAAAAAAAAAGTTGCATGCTGAAACTCAGAATACCAAAAGAAAAAAAAAATGTAATACAAATGTCAGAATTGCAAGACGTAAACTTAGAAAAGGTTAGAATTGTGTGATGCAAACTCGGAATTCTGAGAAAAAAAACACCCGAATTGCAAAATGTTCGAATTCTGCTAAAAAAAAAAAAAGACATTAGATTTCCGGGATGTAAACTCAGAATTCCAAGAAAAAAAGTCAGAATTGCATGCCGTAAACTCAGAATACCAAGAAAAAAAAACTGAATTATGGGATGTTATAATTTAAATAAAAAAAGTTATAATTCTGTGATGTAAACTAAGAGTCAAAAAAATTTAATTGTGTGATGTAAACGCAGAATTCTGAGAAAAAAAAAATCTGAATTGTGAGATACAGACTCGGAATTCTGATTAAATAAAAAGTTATAACCACGGGACTTGTACTTGCAATTCTTTGAAAAAAAAAACGTGTGAGATAAATATTTTATAATAAACTTCCATATTATTCTCACATACTTGGTCATCCAAATTAAAAATGCATTACATGACACAGTTCTACTTAAATACAAGGGTGGAAAGTTGAGGACCCATTATAGTTCACTAAAAAATAAAAGGTTGTGGCACACCAGTGCTGGAGGGAAATAATCACTTACAATGTAAGGTTGAGGAGGGTCCCAATGTACCCAATCATAGATGACGGACTTCTCATGCCTGGTCACATACTTTGCCCAAGGTGAGATTCGGAACAGTCGCTCACCTGCACTGGTGTGAACAACCACCTGGGAAGAGAGACAAATGAGGGATGTAACGGCAAGGGCACAGAGAGAGGGTCGGGACGTGGGCACAAGCAAAGGGCACTGGGTAATGCAGGTAAGAGAAAATGTGTTTACAGCTGCCAGAGAGCAGGGATAAAGGGCCAATCTCATGCAGAAAGGTCACTCTGTACAAGCAAAGAGGACATTTAAGTTCAGTCTGACCGCTGGAGGTGAAAGAGGTTTTATACTGAAAAAATATGACTTTTCAGTTTATTGCATCGGGTTTCTAGAAAAACTATTTGTGGCAACAAGCAGCTTCTTTTTTTTTTTAAAGAGAAAACTGCATGGTTATCAATTTTATAACCAATTTGATTTAAGCACCAAGTGTGGCAATAAACGTGCAGCGATTCTGGGAAAAAAAATGTGTTTACTTATATGTTTAGCTTGGTACTTGCTTTACATGCATACAGTATACATCCAAACTTGAAAGAGTAACATGAATAATAGATCAAACGCTTTCTGTTTTTACCAATATGCCCTAGATTACAACTATAGACAGAGAGGCCAGGAAAGATTACATGGGAACTTGTGTTTGTGCCAGTGTTCAAAGCAACAACTCGCTGATAAATGAAAATTGTCACCATTTACTCACTCTCATGGGTTTTTTTTTCCAAACCTATATGACTTTCCAGAAAACACAAAATGAGACGTTTAGCAGAATGTATAGGCTGCTCTTTTCCATATAATGAAAGTGAATGGGGACTAAAGCCGTAGAAAAATGACAAAAAGCACCATAAAAATATCATAATATTCTTTTAAGATGCATTTTGGAGCTATGGTCAATGTATGTTTTAATACACAGAAATAAGAAGCCTAGACATTCAGTTAAATAAATGCATTTCTGTTTCACAGAAGAAAAACTGTGACACAGGTTTATACATATAAATAATGACAGATGTTTTTTGTTAGTTTTTTTAGTTACTTAAGTGATTTGTAACCATGTCCAGAAAAATGCATTATGCTACACAATGTGAGATATAAACCTGCAACAAGAGAGAGAAAAAAGTTCTCACAATTGAGAAATTGTAAACTCAGGATTCTGATTAAAAATAAATAAATAAATAAAACGCCAATTTTGAGATAGACTTTTTGAGATAAACTTGCATTTGCGAGATAACGTGATTCTGAGAAAAAAGGCCAGAATTATGAGAGGTAAACTTCTGAAAATTTTGAGGAATGTGTAGCGAATCAGCTCATGGGGAAATATGAATAATTAATCATAACTAGTCATAATTAATTATAAATAATTACAGACATCCTGGCATCCAGTTTATTGGGTGAGGGGACTGTGACGATTTGTTAATCTAATGAATAACTGATTTGTTCAATCAAATGAAAAATTGTGTGTTTGATTGGTCCAGACGCTACAAATGTATGTTTTAATGTATGGAAATAAGCAGCCTGGACACTCTGCTAAATAACTTATTTCTTTTCTATGGAAGAAAAAAAATAGTGATACTGGTTTGGAATGACATGAGAATGAGTGAATAATGACAGCATTTTTATTTTTTGCTGAAGTGATTTGTAACCATGTTTATTATGCCACACTGTTTTTTTTCCTCATGTAGATGAAGATTTCTAGAGATGTCTAAAATAAAGCTATTAGCCAGCACAAAAGCATTGATCAGAAACGGAAAGGGTCATTTAATCATTTGTGTACTATCGGCATTGTTATTTATAGCTGAAGCAAAACTATTCACTCGCAGATATTAAAAACTCATCATGTGTCTAAGATTAGACTACAGAAGCTATCCTTTCTAAAGGGCATTCGAAGGCAACGTGTGAATTTAATGTCAGAGTGAGTTGTTTTTTTTCATTGATCTGTAGAGCAACAGGATCTATAGATGGCAGGACTGAAAAAGTATTGTAATTTCCAAAATGTTTCCAACATAACATAACATAACATAACATAACACAACACACAACACATAATTTCACAACTCTAAAAATTATAGTAATACTAGATAGCCCTGAGAAATTTTAGTTCTTATTATTATATAATTATTCTACATATTATATATACCCTGTAGAGAGAATAAAATTTAGTATTAAAACAATTTTAAGAGTTATCTAATCAGACAATATATTATACTGAAATGTATAAAATAAAATAAAAAATACAATATAATATTTGGTAATATTACATGGCCCTAATGCTATAATTTTTAATTCCATTATTCTACATATTTATCAAAATAATTAAATTTAATATTAGCACAACTTTTAGAATTATTTTATTGACAATATGATTTCATAACTCTAAAATCTAGATGGCCATGAGCAATTTTAATTCTATTATTCTATGTTATGAAATCTGAACCCAAATATATTCAAAAATAAAATAAATAAAACAACACACAAAAGTAATTATTATATTATATTATTATATTATATTACATGTTACTGAATGATTTATTAGAAATATTTCTAAAGGATCATGTGATACTGAAGGCTGCATTAATGGCTGCTGATAATTCAGCTTTGCATCGCAGGAATAAATAGCATATTAGTTTATGTCTAATATATATTACAAATGCAGCCTTGATGAGCATTACATATTAACATATGTTTGTATGTATGTATGTATGTATGTATGTATGTATATGGTCAATATTTTCATGTTCAACACCAGTTATTAAAACATTCTCATATTTATGAATGAAATGCATTTGTGTTTCATATTTGGATAAAAACTGCAAACGAATATAGCAGGAAGTAAAACAATGGATAATTACTTTTTATGGGTGTAGAAGCAACCACAATGCAAATTTAGACCCATTAAAGCCTGGTGAAAAATTGAGGGCATATTGAGGGAAAATTAGCAATCCAAAAGAGATTAAAATGATCAGGAATGGAGCAACAACCCATTTAATTTAATTTAATTTATTTAATTATTTTATTTTTTACCTGATATATCTTGTACCTGATAATATTCAAGGCCATGTTTAAATGATCCAGTGAGGTTTAAATGTAGCTATGATTTTGGATTTGATTGTGGGCGGTGCGTCAGTTCAGTCACAGAACTGCAACTGATATGAATGGGAATGTTAGTCGATGTTTCTATGTAGTGTACTGCTCACATGCAGTTCCATGATGTCTCTTTATAATATGTTTGTATGTTTGTATGTATGTATGTATGTATGTATGTATATATATATATATATATATATATATATATATATATATATATATATATGCACACAAACAAATGTGTGTGTGTGTGAGTGTGTGTGTGTGTGGTTTATTAGGACATAAATGTGTATAACGATATCGGTATCACAACGTGAACATGGTTTATGAGGACACTTCCTGTGGCTTAAAACAAAACATACTAAATGGTATGATAATTCATATAATCTAAAGTTTGCTCTAACCTAACAACCACACTCTAAGAAAACTAGCTTAAGGCACTTGTTTCCAGCCCGCTTTCCAAACAAGAGTGAGAAAAGAGCGGTGTGTGCTCGACTACAGTCTAACTCACTCAAAGGCACTCTTCTCTTCCTCCCCGCTGCCGCGCACAGCCACACGACTGTCAGTACAGGAGAGCGGATCGATAACGGAGCATCTCTCATCGTGTGAATGCACCCGTGGGAGCCCTCCATCCTGAGTCTCCCTATCTCTCTCTTTCCTGGGCCAAAAAGCAAATGGATCATTTGATGGTCCCCTCCATAAGCTGCCAGCGAGAGGTAATGACAAAGCCATCGGCACCTGCCGGTGACCTACAGACCAGCGTCCCAGTGGGGCTCAATCATTAGCGGCTTCTCACCCGAGGACATGCGGGAGCACCAAACCGCCACACCACGGGTTTGCCAGTTTATATAATCACCCAGAAAAGAGTGTGAGAATGAACAGATGCTGAGCCTGACCGACTGATGGAGAGAAAACAGCAGAAAATAGCAGACACACGGTGTCAATGAAAGCAGGTGGAGAATAAATGGATGATGACAAAATTCTTACTGAGTTCATTTAATGTCTGTCACTTTGCTGTACTGTCATTTTAGGGTCCAGTCGCAGGTTTATTGAAAACATTTACTGGCAATGAATATTTCTTACGTCCCCAAGAAACTGTTTGGCTTTTAATGCGAGGATGCATTAAATTGATCAAAAGTGACCATAAAGAACACATCTATATTGTTACAGTTATTTTATTTAATTTTCTTTTCATTAAATAATCCTAAGAAAAAAATATTAAGCACTATTATTAAAACAGTTTTTTAACATAGATAATAATAAGAAATGTTTCTTGAGCACCAAATCAGCATTGGAATGATTTCGGAAGGAATAAATTGAATTGTAAAAAAACTTTAAAAACAAAACAGTTATTTTAAAATCTAATAATATTTCATAATATTTTAACTAATTAATGATTATATTTTTAAACATTTTGATCGAATAAATGCAGCCTTGCAACCATTTACATTGGGTACCTCCTGCTTCTTTTAATTTCCAAATAAATAAATAACTATAAAATATTTTTTATGTTCCAACTGGGTGATGGAACAGACATATGGTTCTATATATATACACAGTGTTGGGGGTAACGCATTACAAGTAACGCAAGTTACGTAATCAGATTACTTTTTTCAAGTAACTAGTAAAGTAATGCATTACTTTTTAATTTACAAGAGAATATCTGAGTTACTTTTTCAAATAAGTAACGCAAGTTACTTTTTTCCAATTTATTGATTGACAGCTCTCCTGTCCCCATGTTGAGAGAAATCAGCTACTGTAGTTCTAAAATAAATATAAATATGCATTAATTCATCTCACTCACAAAATAAAAAAACTGATTCAGTATTCCTCAAAATGAATTTAAAAAATGCTGAGAATATACTCAGAATATGACGCAAACCGGCAATAATTAAATGTTAGACAACACAAATATGCTTTATGTATTTAATCCCATTCTATTAGCTTCTGAGCTTCTGATGATGCAGTTCAAGCGTACTAACAAGCACAAATTACTCTAGACGAACATTTGTGTGTCTTTGTTTATTGCTGAAGTGTGTTGAAATTTATTCTTCTGCATTCTACTGTACGGACTTAAATTTACTTTCCCTTCAGCCTGAGGCTTATTCCTTTCACTTTTGGTGTAAAACGGTTTTTATATTTGCCAAAAATAGAACTTTTTTATTTGAAAAACAAACAAGCAAGCCCTGTCCAGATTTAAAAAGTAACGCAAAAGTAACATAACGCATTACTTTCCATAAAAAGTAACTAAGTAACGTAATTAGTTACTTTTTTA